TGTAAATAGATAGGAAATTATAATTAAAAATGTAATGATTAATAAAGATGATGATTATTAATAATAATTGTAATTTACCCTCCTCATACCAAGAAAACAAATCTCTTTGCATTTCTCCTCTTCTCTATTTCCCAATATTGCTGCTTATATTGTTCCTATATTGTAAGTCGCTTTGGATAAAAGCGTTTGCTAAATGTCTAAATGTAATATAAATATCAGATTTTGCATTTATGTGGCGTCGAGCAGGAAGCCCCGCCCACACCACAACTATTGGATCGAAGTACAGCTTCTAATGTTTATTAATTATCAAACATGGACGTAGAGAGAGTGAAGGTTTTACATTTTAAAAGAGAATTTTACATGACAAACCATAAACCACAAACCATAAAAAGCATGCCCTCTAGTGAAGCATCACAGAAATCATAAAAATACAAGGTATGTGTGCAACAGGGTGAGCAAACAGTGTTTTGTGTTGGTGGCAGCACTCCTGAGCGCTTGTGTAATGCAGTGGACCATATATTAACTACCCCCACATATTTAATTACAAATGTGTTAATTATTGATTTATGCATGAGCTGGAGTGGTTTCGTAGATGAGTGCTTCTGAGTTCTAAGTGACTTAGTTTTACAGAGGTGCTTTATACATTGTTCTTTGTGCTATGTAAATATTATTATGAGATACTTGACAATAATTTTACTTGAAATACTCCAAATAATCTGCAACAAACCCAGTAAATGTATGTATTAGTATGTTGGCTTCCTGAGATTATAGTGGCCAAATTATTAAAAAAATATTTTAAATAATATCTGTCATTTCTGTTTATCAGACATCCATCACTTTACTTCAGTTACTTCACTTTACTTTTACAAAGTCTTGATTTTGTTTTGGGGGTGTACTAGAACAGGCTCTCATACTAGGTTGTTCGAAAAACACATTATTTTTCACATATTTTACATTATTACAACCAGTGTTCGGCAAGTTACTCTGAAAATTTAATCAAATTACCTACTGATTACTCCTTTTAAAAGTAATCACGTTACTGTTCTGATTACTTTATTTAAAAAGTAATTAGTAATTAGTTACATTACTAGTTACGTTACTTTTTTCTCCATGAAATTTATGAGCACTGATTGCACACAGCTGTAACCAATCACACATTCACTATATAACACTCACTCTGATCCCTTTCAAACTGCCGAGTATTGTATAGCGTTTATCACTCTCATAGCGACAGCTACTCTACGGAGCTTGTCTAGTTATTCATAGCCTTATCTTAGTCTTGCCTTGTCTGTTTTCTCGTGTCCTGATCTTTGCCTGTGTATCTCGGATTCCCCCTCTCGTCTTGCCCTATTCGGATACTGTTTGCCCCTGCCTGGACCTTTGCCTTGTACCTGGATTTATCCCTCTAGTCTCGCCCTGTTGATTCTGTTCGCCGATCGTAGCTGCCCTCTATATACCTGTTGCCATTGTCTGACCCTTGCCTGTTTCTGACCATGTCGGTTAATAAAACTTCGCACCTGGATCTGCACATCTCACGTTTCAGTCACTCCGTGACAGCTGCGTTCGACACTATGAATCATGACATACTCATAGATCGATTACAAAACTATACAGGTATTCAAGGGCAGGCTTTAAGATGGTTTAGATCCTACCTGTCCGATCGCTACCAAAGATTGGATGTCCAATAATTTTCTCCTATTAAATTCGGATAAGACCGAGATATTACTTATTGGGCCAAAAGACAGTACACAGAATCTATTTCCTCTACAGTCAAAAATCTGGGTGTGTTATATTAGATAGCAACTTGTCTTTTGAAAATCATAATTCCCATGTTACAAAAACAGCATTCTTCCATCTTAGAAACATTGCCAAGTTACGAAA